TATAAATTGTAATGTTAAAAATCTAAAAGAAACTTGAGAGGTTAAAAACTTACACTACTACTACTCACCAATCTAACATGTTTAGCTCTATAACATTTAAATGCACCACTCCAATGTCTAAGAGAAAAAAATGTAATGAACATTTTTAATGTATGACCGACATCACTGTACAGAAAGCTGCCATGATAGAAATATTTACACTGTGCGCATACAGGTATTATTTTCCTAATCCCTGACTGATCATTTTTAATCTAGCGTGTATTATAGTACAGATTAAATTCATCATCCAGCTGCTGCTCTACAGAATTCTCTCCCCAAGAGCTGAATCACGCCATCTAGTGGAAAATCACGTGGCTTTTTCAGATCACGCGAGAATGTGTACAAAACAACAAAAATGGCGTCGGCAACGCTTGTGGGTCGTTTTCAGCGAATGTCAGTGATTTTAAAGTAATTTTGAGTGATAAATGTATATATTTTTTGCAATCATTGCACTTGCCCGGCGGGCAAATGCAATGCAATGAAATTTGTACTCTCCCAACAATAAAAACTACTTGCCCCGGGCGATTGGGCGATGGTTAACTTCGAGCCCTGCAGTTAGTCACAGCCAGAGAAACAGGACTACACTGGAAAACAGGCTGGCAGGGAGACTGTGCTGTGTCGGTCTCCCTGCCAGCTCCCAGATCAGCTTCTCTGATTGGTTGATGAGGCGCGTCCAGCAGCTAAGGTTACATTTTTCTAACTCCGGCAGCTGCTTCTGCTGCTAGAAACGTGGTGTGGGACCTTTTCTTGCACCTTGTCGGCATCAACCATTGACTTTGCATGTAAAGTAGCTGCTTCTGCTGCCTCAGCTGCTTGCGGTCTGAACGTAGCATCAGAAGTTATATAAAAGTAAGACAATGAAATGGATGTTGGCTTATAAATATATTTATATTTGAGATCTATTCAGCTATTTTTGGAATCAATATAATCTAATAAAATATTGCGATATTTGACAGAATAGATTTCTTTTCTTATCCTGGAGCATCAGACAGGCAGGAACAATAAAATCAGTCACTATGCAATAATTTTCCTGAGTCAGCTGATGTGTTGGCGTGGAAAGCAGCTCTATTATAGACCCTCTAGCAGAGCTGATTGTTTCAAACCTTATTTCTGCCGCGCTGCAGCAGTGAGGGAGCTGCCGCCCATCTGCAACGACGTCCGCCAGAAGCATCGGCTCTCCATCGACACCCTGCCTCCTGAAGTCAAAGCCCCGTTCCCCTCCGACCCCATCATCCCCCTCCGTACCAAGACCACCAGGGAGTTCCAGTGAGTCTCCTCTGGACGATCAGCGAAGCATCCCAGAATGCTCCTCACTCTACAGCTTTGCTGTGTTTCCAACAGGGAGGACGTGGAGCGCGCCGTTCACTCAGGTGACTGGAGGGAGGTCAGAGAGTTCTACCTGACCACCTTCGACTCCTTCATAGAAATCAACGCCGCCTTCAAGGTAAACACCTGACAGAAATCTCTCCCCCTGCTTACGTCTGCTTCCGTTTTCCTCACCGTGCGTCCTTCTTTTCCCAGCGGGAGGCCAACGGATTGTTTAACACTATCGAGGACTCAGGGGTCAACGCCAAGTTCGTCAACGCCGTTTACGACTCGCTCCTCGGCACAGTAAGTGAGACAGAACCGCTAAAGCCCGCTTCTTCTCTGCAGACTTTTCTCTTTCTAGTTTACTTTCTTTTTATGTCTTATGATTCTGATGTTTCTATTTAAACCTGATATTAAAATAAAACCAAAACAAACAGTAAATGGTTGATAGGGTAAACCGTTACTGATTTATTTTATTTATTTCATTCAGACAGAAAACAAAGACTGTGTTTACATTACCAATATTAGTACTAATATATTACTGAAAGGCTGAAGCAAAGCAGGTGAATTCCTGCCTTCTTATAATAAAATGAAGCTACGTTTCACCTGACAGGAAGAAGCTCCGACATAAAACAAGAAAATAAACTTTACTGAGGATCATTTTTTAATAAATAATGTTTTAAACAGCTTTTTAGAAAACTAAGAAGGATGTACATGACTTTTGATTTCCTTTATGACTTTCTGTAAGATGAATTAATGTTTAACTCTTTTTTTTTAGGTCTCATATGTTAAATAGTTAAATTTATAACAAGGCAACTTACTTCCAGTTTCTTAATAATAAATAAAAATCATCAGTTAACCTAAGAAAAAATAATAGTAAGTCTGTTTTGAGTGTCAGAATATCAGCGTTTTTAGAGTTCTCACATTTTTTTTAAGTTAGTAAAATTATTTTTTTTAATCAACTGTATAAGGTAAGTATTAAATAATATCCAAATAAGAGGCAGGTTTACAGACTTTTTGTTAAAGATAAAACAACATGAGACTTAATGAGATGAAGTTAAGTCATGTTGAACGTTTAATGTTTGGATAGTGGGATCTATGACACTCTGGGCAGATTAGTTTTTTACATCTGAAGAGAGAACATCTAACCTTAACCCTTTAAAGCCAAGCGTATCATATTAGATACAGGAGATTTTCAAACCTCTGCATCATCAGTGGGATGTTTTTGTTCTTGAAACCCTGACTTACATAATCAGACACATGTAGTGAACAGAAAACATAGAAAAGATTATATAGAAATGCATAATATGTCAAAATTGATGCAAATAAATGATGTAATTTTATGTTTTTACAGATTTTATATAGTTATTTCATTTGTCACAAAGTTCAATTACAATTCTAATTTTGGAAAATTAGAATCTTCTGTCAATAATTTCCTGGTTCACGCTTTAAAGGGTTAAACTGGGGGGGGTGGGGGTTTACAACGCAGCGATAGAGTTGATTCCTTCCTCCTATCAGAATCATCATCTCCATGACAACTCGCCTGGTCATCCAAGCCAACAATGCCCCTAACGACCCCCCATTCAGAGCCATAGACCAGTATCGGGGTATTGCAGGCTAACAAAGACCTTAACGACTCTTGTTTCATTAGGGGCGGACCTGTTCTTGCGGTTCAATTTCCATGTTTTGTAAGCCAAACCAGGCTTTGTTGGGCTGCTGGATAAAACCTGGAAACAAAATCCAGTGGACTGATTTTTAACTTTTTTGGGAAATCTGAAGAGACATTAGCTTCCCCTGACCACTAGGGGCGCACTGTACGATTTAGTCTCTGCTGCTTCCTTGTCATATTCAGTTATAGGTTTAGTTTTCAGTAGATGTTTATATGACTTTATTTCTTTAATTAAAGAGGGACAATCTGGACCATCAGCTGCAGAGGGTTTGCCCTTGTGAGTCGCTGACTTGTTGATTGAAGAGTTTGTTTTTCTGTTCAGCCTCAGGACATCCAGAAGTCTGTTTTAAAAGGGATCATCAACAGCCTGCTGAGAGAGTGGAAAGGGTGAGAGAACCGCACATGTTTCCTTTTCTTTCTCGATTAAAAATGCTCCCTTTTTAGCCTTTTCCTTGAGATTTGTTTCTAAATTTAACAAGTTTCCCTTTTTTTGCAGCCCTCGGACAAAAGACGACCTGCGAGCATATTTTGTTCTAATTCAGGTGAGACTGAAAGCTGCTTTGATGGATTGGAAATCTTTTCATGTTCCCATTTAAAGGAAAAGTTTGGTCAGCAAAGAATAATCAATGAGTCATTATTTCTACCTAAAACTAATACGTTCGCAGTGATTTAAGGAATTTAGCGTTAATCAGTAAAAAATTAAAAACAATAATTTTCGTCGCGATCACGGTGCGGTAAGCCTAGCGCCATTCCACCTTTCTGATTCCTGATCCTCCACGGACGGGTTGGTCGTTGGATCGCCAACTTGAAGAGGGAGGATTTGCCATCGAACTTCTGGCCAGAGAAAAAACCCGTAATATGTAGCCAACATTTGGAAGAAGAATGTTTTCAAGATGACTTGGATAATAGCGCGTTGTGACAAACACCAGATACAGCACTGGGACTTGATCAACAGCCGATACCGCACCGTGACAATGTCACTAACCAGTAGGTGGCAGTAGTGTTCTTTGACAAACATGGATGCCTCCAGTAAAGCACATTCACATGAAAATTACTCTGAATTAAAAACACTGATCATTTATTGAACAGGATGGAATCATTTCAGATTTAAAGAACTTTAAGAAGTTTGGATTCTGAATATGAGCGACTTTTCCTTTAAAGATGTTGTCATAAAAAAAAAACTGTGATTTCTTCTGTTTAATCCGTCTTAAGATCAATAACACCAAAATCTAGACGCTGCAATATGACATCATTGGCTGATTTGGTCATGGTTTGATCAACGTGGAGGGCAGAAAGTGATTAAAGAAAAAAACTGAATAATGTTTAAAACTACAAATGACCTCTATGACACTAAGAAACGTAATTATTAATTAATACTTTGTTTGAACCCAGACTACAAAAGTTTATAAATTCTCCAACAAAGTCACCAAGTTGGCAACAACAATCAGGGAGTCATTTTAGCGGTTGCTATGGTGATTCCCGTGTTTCCTAGTGAGCAGCACAGACCTTACGTATTTAGACGCCTCATTGGACGCTGCCCGATGTGCCTAGAGGGCGGCCATCTTGGATCAGACTATAGTTCAGATAGCTGCTGTGAGAATGAATTGGAGGCGCGTCAGATCTCATTTTATTGCATGAAAGACGATACCAAACAATTATTATTAACCCTAAAAACTACATATGCTGAATCCTGAAGTTCTTGCTAACAGAGTTGAGGATTTTTTTTTCCATCAGTCTGGCCTGCTCTTTATTCCTGCTCTCTTTCTGTTTGGATCCGGTTTTCCGGTTTTCCATTTTTCCATCTCTGCAGCCTGACAGCCATATATGGGAGTCCCATTAAAGCAGGAAACCCTAGCTAATGGTGCCAATGGAACCGTATTCAGACTGTGTTCGGCTCCTTCCTTCTTTTTATTGGTCAGTTGTGCTGCTTCATCTCAAATATGACTTTAGGATTAGCAGCTTAATCATAGACGATTTTCAGCAACGATGCGCCGTAAAGCATCCAACCCAGAGCCGCTTTATATCTGAAGGAGATCCGATAGGTTCTGTTAAAATGTGTGAGTAAACCAGCCTGCTGCTCAGAACAACAGCAGAAACATTAAAGTTTCAACAGATGACAAGAAGCTGGACTTTGACTGAATTGGTTTGTTGATGCCTCTCACAGTTTTTGCACAATCCCGTTTATTTCCACTGAAGGTTCTGGTCAGTGTGGGATGATGTCAGACTCCAGATTCTGACACAGTTAATATTTAGACACTTTCTGGCCCCAGTTTCATTCTGATGTTTATGGTTTGCACAATAAATCTTGGCTGTTTTTTTCTTATAGCCTGTAAATAGATGTTAATGTCTCTATTTCCTGCTACATTAAATGAGGTCATCCTAGATTTAGTATAATATTCCTGTTTCTACCCTCTATTTGGGATCAATTTGTATAGAAACAGGCTAATTTTCAAACCTTACATGTACCTTTAAAAATAAAGGTGGATCATAACTGAGAAATCAATAAGACAGTTTTAAATTCTTTTTTCTTTTGTCCAGAGGTCTCAGACTAAACCGTCTTTACATCTTGCTTTGAATCATGTTTATATTTATTTATAATAAGAGCTTAATTACAGAGTTATCACCAATTTCACGGATGCATCCTTTGAAATTTTGGTCAAATAAAAGGAAAAAGAATGAAAATTCTACCAAAACATAGAAAAGTTTAACTCATTACAGTGTTATTCGTTGTTCTAATTATATCTTTTACCAAACAGACTATCCGATATATTTCCGTTAGGCAAAATATCCATTCAGGTCTTTATTCTTAACACCCACCTCATATGAAGTAATCCTCGCTTATTCTGCATACCCAAATGGAAAAGCTAATAACTGAGGAACCTTAAGCCCAAACTACATGTGTGATTCATCATCTGAAAGCTAAAACCTTCTAGTTTCTGAAAATATAAATGTATATTAGTTGAGTAAAACACAGACTAAGCTGCATCAGTTCAAACATGAATCAAAGTTGTTTTTACTTCTCAAAAATATGAGGTCTTTTTTGAACAGCAGTAATAGGCGTGTTTTATTATATTTAGTTTGTTCTGCATCAGGTCGGGAAAGTTTTCCAGCATGTGATGATTGATTATCAAACATGAAGTTTTTATCCCTGATGTTTGCAGAATCCGCAGTATTCCAGTACCAGCACCTACGTGATTTTCGCTCACCTACTGAGGCAGATCGCAGCGTTGTCTGAGGCCGACCACCACTACCTGGTCCACTGGCTCAAGAGGCAAGTCTCTTAACTGGGAACAGATTTTTATATTTTTAACCAAATATTCAAGGAATTTATTGAACCGAATGAAAGAATATTTGTAGAAAACATGTACTTTGTAGTTCACTGAAGGCGACTTGGTCTTCTGGTCAATTCACAGTAACTCAATGGCTTCATTGAGTGAAAAAACAAATCTAAGAGTCGTCAGGAGAGAAAAATCCACTTTTATGAAGTTATCAGCTAGCATTTTATCTTGGTTTTCTAAAAGCTTAGAAAATAGTTTCTATTCTATAACTTTTCTATATTCCTGCTGCTATAAGGAGGTCAGGTGTGGTAAAGAACTGAGAGGATTGGGGTGGTGGAAATTCAAGGGCCGTGAGGTGTGTGTTAGGAAAGGACCGATGGACTCAAACCGGGAAGGAGAGATGGAAGCAGGAGGAAGGAGAGGTGGAAGCGGGAGGAAGGAGAGGTGGGAGCAGGAGGAAGGAGAGG